TAGTGCTCTCCGAAATCAATGAGGATTCTGAGTGTTCTCAGATGTGGGATGGAATGCCCGGGTGAATGGAATAGCCAGTTGGACCAACGCACGAATCCTGGTCCAGTTGGACGGCAGCAAGTCAGCCAGGCGCCACAATGCCACCAAACATCCCCTCGGGGATGTGCAAGTTAGAGAAGTTGCCATTAGACTCACCAGGAACATTTCAGATGCGGGTGTAGGTCATGAGGTCTCCCGTAGGTTCCCTGAACTCTTCCCTCCACCTGGGAGAGGCAAGAGGTGGGGGTTCATCATCCCTATGGAGAAAGAGGGGACTGCCCTCAGATCTGACTTCTGTAATGCAGGGAAAAGCAGGGACAGGCTCTTACAAGCCTCATTTTCCCAGGCATCCTTGTCTTGGTGTAGAGCCATCATGCAATTCATCCCAGTGGGGTCTGTGTCCCAGTCAAAGGGTCACGGGACTACCTGTGCCTGTGGCCACCCTGCAGCACATGCATGGCAGTCACTCTACTTAAAGAAAGCGCTGAATATTTAACCTATTTTACTCAGGCATTGGTGTCTCCAAAACCTGTTTCAATTTCTAGAGTTTGTGACCCTTTACATTTGAGTTGCAAATGATCCCATTCTCTAGGATCTCCAAATGGAGTAGTAGCAGCAGTCCAGGCCTAGTGCTGCGTGGTCCACCATATATTTCCCCAGCTAGAACAGGAAGGTTCCTGATTACCCAAGATGTGTTCAGGACAGAGATATTCATTTACCTGCGAGAGCTGCCCCTGGTTTTTTTGATCTCTACAAGGTCAAACTTGACAAGCATTAAACTTTACAATTAGGCTTTCTGGGCACCTTGTGCACCTCCCACCGTTTTTCTTCCCTCCCCTTATTAAGTCCTTTGTTGGTTCCTTAACATCTGTATAATGAGCCCCACCTTTTCTGCTATCCATATTGTGGTCTCAGTTGGTCAGAAGTACTTGATAGGGGCCTTCCCAGCTGGGCTGAAGTGGATCTTCTTTCCAGGACTTAATTAGTACCAGGTCTCCAGGATGGTCTGCAGGCAGTTCAGGAGGAGGGTGTGGGGTAGATATAGCTTCTTTTTTTTTTTTTGAGTCAGAGTCTCATGCACGCTCATGGGCACCCCAGTGTCGACCTGCTGGGTTCCAGCGATCCTTCCACCTCAGCCTTCCAAGTAGCCGGAACTACAGGTACACACTACCACGCCCGACCAATTTTTTGTTTTCTTGTAGAGACGAGATATCGCCAAGTTGCCCAGGCTAGTAAATCGCATGAAGAACTTACCCTCAAGTATTGTCTTATTCATACTTCCCTTTATTCGTTTATAACGGTTTACTTAATTACTTATGAAAACTGAGATCTTAGACAAGACTAGTTATTTTAAGTTATTTCCTGGCCAATTATTTTTAAAGGCTGTGAACACCAAGTGTTACCTATTAGGAACCTTAAAGTTAAATACATGGACATTTTACTGATAATTCAGAAGGTTTAACTGTTTTTTTTTTTTTAACCAACAATTTTAAATTAGTTATACTTATAACAAAAACATTCATATAAATAAATATTATTCATGTTTTGGCTAGGTTTATAGTCATAATTTCATGTTAAATCCTGATACTTTAAACTATCTAGCAGTAAGTTTTAATGCAAAACTTAATTAGTAGACTCAGACAAAAACGTATGTGGACAATTCCAAAGACACTTTTCATTTTATTAATAATTTTACCTATTTCTTTTTACCAAAGATCATAAGAGTCACATGAACTTGGAAAGCATTGAGATGTATTTATTTACCTTATAAGTACTCATTTACTTAGAAGTCAATTTGGTAGCTTGCTGGACAAAACACATAACATGCACATACATTTAAACATAGATATACACACACAAGGATTTCACAACATTTATCTCCGAATTTCAGCCATGAAACAGCAACAAACTTACCATTTTACAAAAGACACCCAAATTCAAATTATTTTTCTGACAAAATTGGAACCGGTTTGCCTGGCTAAATTTTGTTTGCCCCAGTAGGCAGTCTAATAAAGGCCGTGGGCCCAAACTGGGGCAACGCAGTCTCCATGGCAGTTTAACCTAAAAAAAATTATTTTTCTCCAGTTTTAAATGGGCTTTCAGTGTTTACATTTTAGTTAGAACTGGCTAAACTGTATACAAAAACCAAAAATTTTTATTTAACCTTGAAGCAGTGAGCTTATCTCAATACCAGTAGTTTAGTTACTAACAGATTCAAAGCAGGCAGAAAAGAGATAAATAGTTTAGAAGGCTCTATCTAACACTGTGGTTGCAGATTAACTATTTGGATTCTGAAACTTATAATTCCAACATAGACGGCCGGGACCAAACGGCTGGCACCTGTATTAACTAAGAAATTAATTTGGGTTCCAGCACCGTAATATTCACCTGGGGTGTCAGGTTCGTTCTTACCAGGTCTCTGATGGGCAATTAGAGTTTTTTCTTCTCTTGTTGAACCTCAAAGCCTTGAGACATTCTGAGACCTCAGGATTGATTCTCTGATTCCCTTAATTATCAATACCCTCAGATCCTGCATTTTTGTCCTATCCTCTTGATCATTATTATCCCACCAAGGATCTACATTTGGGTACTTTTGCTCGGCTGCCTGAATGCCTGGCCTTGAAGGGTGTTCCCGTTGCCATAAGGACATTGTTGCCCTCCTGATCAATCCCCAAGACCTCAGCACTTCCCCAATGGACTATCTGGGGTAATGTTAGAGGAAGAATTTTTATCGCCCCCTTTCTTGGATTCCCTAGGCCTCGAATTATTTTGTTTGTTGGTTTTTTTGAGTTGGAGTCTCACTCTGTTGCCCAGGCTGGAGTGCAGTGGCACACTCACGGCCACCACAGCCTCAACAGCCTCAACCTGCTGGGCTCTGGTGATCCTTCCACCTCAGCCTTCCAAGTAGCTGGAACTACAGGCACACGCTACTACACCTGGCTTATTTTTTTTTATTTATTGTAGAGACGAGGTCTCACCAAGTTGCCAAGGCTGGTCTTGAACCCCTGGGCTCAGGCAATCCTCTCACCTTGGCTTCCCAAAGTGCTGGGATTGCAGGCTGAGCCACTGTGCCCGGCCAGCCTAGAATTCTTATTCCCCATTCTTGGCTAGTTTGAATACTCAGCCCCACTTTCTAAGAGTTTCTTATATTTCCTGGTTGATGCCTGTGTCTGAGTTTACCTATGCAGCCAGCTGACCGCCCCACTGGAGTTTTTTTGCACATCCCAGGATTCGCTTCTACCGTCTCTGGCTGTTTCCCTCATGGCAGGCCAGAACCACAGATCTGGACTCGATTCTTATCTGTGATACGTCTCAATCACACACACATACTCAACCTCCGAGAATGTCCCAACCACCAAGGCAGTACTTAGAGTTCAATTTTTCCTACCTTGACTCGTGCACAAAGTTGCCTGGTTGCTGCGGTGCCTGCTTTCTTTCTTTTTTCTTTTCTCCCCTGTATCACGTCTGCTGCCTCTGAAACAATAGTCTCAGGCTTATCTCCAGTCCCAAGAGCAGCCAAGACACCCAAGCAGAGTAGGCCACCCAGAATCACGTCTCCCCCTCTTCTGGGGTCCCCCTCCCACAGATGCAGAGTATTCTGGAGGAGACCCCAAGTTGTGAGAAACGCACTCATCCATCCAAAATCAAAGGATGGACATAGAGACGTGGAGTGCAGCAGAAGTGAGACTTTAATGACCGTCTTGCAAGAGGGTGTCTGGTGGGCAGGCACACCCAAGGTGGTTACAACAAGCTTTTTTTTTTTTTTTTTTTTGAGTTGGAGCCTCACTCTGTCGCCCAGGCTGGAGTGCAGTGACACATTCATGGCCACCCCAGTGTCAACCTGCTGGGCTCCGGTGATCCTTCCGCCTCAGCCTTCCAAGTAGCTGGAACCACAGGCGCGCACTACCACACCCAGCTAATTTTTTGATTTATTGTAGAGATGAGGTCTCACCAAGTTGCCCAGGTGGGTCTCGAACCCACAGGCTCAGGCAATCCACTCACCTCAGCCTCCCAAGACGCGGGATTACAGGTTGACCCACCGAGCCCGGCTGCTTTTTATTTTCTAGTGTGTAACCCTTCCCCTGGTTTCTCATTGGCTGAGTAATGCAGAGGTCACAATTTTTCCCAGATGTCACCTAAGCAGTTTTTGGTCCAAATAAGGTTAAAATAAGTACTTGTTGCTATTAATTGGATGGTTTAAGCTTTTTTGTTTTTAAGTAAGTTTTATTTCCCCAAGATGTGACTATTACTATGCATCACTTTGTTTTGTCTTTTGGTCACGTCAGCAATGAATTATTCATTGTCCTTCAATGATGTGACTGTAACCAGCCTCCCTGTTTTGTCTTTTGGTCAAGACAGCAAACCTTACTCCATTTTCTGGAAATGAATTATTTATTGTCCTTCACACAAATTGACAACCATAGAGGTTGCTACATGGGGATTTCTCACGGCTTTCCCTGTTTTCACAAATGTTTAAAATCTTCATAATAGAAAGATAAAACAATAACAACAAATTGTTCAGGACAGAAAATTACAACTATGAGAAGCCAGATTCAAAAGAGGAGCCACCAATTTGCATACATTATCTTAATATATTTAAAAGTATATGAATATACATGAGAATGACAGGTTTGAATGGTCCCAAATGCAGCTCCAACGTTAGCCCTTTCTTTTTCACCATTTCGTATGGGAAAATTGGCTTTGACAGGTTTCTAGACTATGCACACAGTAAGAAGTCCACACCCTTGCCTCAGCCAGCTTCCTCCTGGAAAGCAAAGCCAGCCAGGTGAGTGTTTACGAGGCCCATCTGACTCATCAGCCTGGAAGGCAGGCCCTCCCTTGCCAATGGCCTTGCGCTCGGGGCGGGTGTGAGGAGGGCGGACCAGTTGGCATCCACAGCAGGGTCTGGGGCGAACTGCAGAAAAGCAACCGGTACCGGAAGGAGTCAAGAGACCACCACGTCTGTTTTTAACATTTATTAGTCCAAAAGTACATTCAAGCCTTCCTACCCTGGGTTCTTGGACTCCCAGGAAGGGGCCAGCTGCCAGCCTGAAGAAGCCGATGTGAGACTTGAGCTCCCTCTCAGGAGGGATAAAGATAAGGCCAGGCTCAACCCAGGGAAACAAAGTCAGGCATGTGCCCTGCAGAGGCCCTGCTGTGGGGACCCGCCCCACAGCGCTCCTTGGCTCTTTTGCCAGAGGAAATGGCTTGATCCCGATTTGGCCACCCTAGGACAATTCCTGATCACAACTAGGCCCCAGGGTTGGGGGTTCCTTTCCTGCTTCCGGCTGATTATTTCCAGAGCAGGGCTGACCAGACGAGTCCTTCCGGCAGAGCTTTGAGGGAGAACCCGGGTTCGGCCTCCCTTCCTCCTCCTTGGTCCAAGGCCACTTCAGCAAACCCAGAGGTAGGACCCTGCAGCCAAGCCAGGTGCCCCCGGGACTGTCACACCTTCACATCAGCCACCAGCAACTCTGGGCCAGTTGCCCTCCGTAGCCTTGTTACTGCATGCCAACCAGGTGCATAGGCCAGGGCCCCTGGCCGCCAAGGCCTGTTCCAGGAGGGGCCTGGACCACAGGCTGCAGCCGCTGCTGGGACTGCCAGATGTGATGGAGCTCCTTGAACTGCTCCACCATGCGGTCCTTGAGGTCCGGGTTTGAGATCTGAAGTCGGATACTGTCTGCCGACCAAGATAGCTCCCCTGAGAACATCTCCAGCAGCAGCCGGGCTGCCACGGGCACCACCTGGGAAGGAAGAGGAGACAGGACAGGGAGAGCGTGGCAGGGCTGCCAGAGCCGCTGTGCTGAGAGGGCCAGACTGCGCTCTCCAGCCTAGAACCTCACGTCTGGCCCTGGGGCTCCAGCCGGCAAGGACCCAGCCCTGGGACTCCCCAGTGTCTGTCCAAGGCAGAGTCGGAGGACAGGCACTTACCTGTACAGTAATGAGCTTCTTCTCTCGGGGTTTGTGGTCAGGCCACTCCTCCCCAAAGCAGAAGAAGATCTCGAAGGGCGGTGGGGTGTTGGTCTGGCCCTTCTGGAACAGGATGAGCTCTGCATGAGACCAAGGGCTGCAGTCAGAGGCTGGGCCGCGCCCTGGACGAGCAGAGCCAGCAGGACCATGGCTTGGCAGCTCACCGTTGAGGAAGTGCTCCAGACTGAAGAGCTTGGTCTTGACCTCCCGCTGGATGGGGTTGGGGTGGGAGCCCAAGGCCGAGGCGCAGGGCCCGCTCCAGAACACCTTGCACTGGCACAGGCGGATGGCGTACAGGTCCTGGCCCTGCAGCTGGAGGATGAGCCCGCGGTCCAGGACGTCCAGCAGCTGGTTTGTGTAGAAGCGCTGCTTGTCGCTGGGGATGTCCTCGGGGCTGGGAAAGCGCACCTGCTCAAGACTCACGGGGCCGAAGAGCTCCACCTGGTCCTGCGTGGCCTCCAGCTGGCTATAGAAGAGCCGGCAGCCGTGCGGGTTGCTGATGGTCAGGGCCCGGGGTGGCCGCCCCCGGTACTGGAACTTGATCTCCAGGTCAGTCACTGTGGAGAGGGGTGGGGCCGGCCCGGCCATGAGCCCCAGGCCTCCCTGGGCCGCCGCCCAGCCCCGTCGCTGCTTCCATTCCCACCCCCACTCGAGGGGCACTCCACCCTGGCAAACCCTTGCAAACCCTGCCTCCACCTCCCAGCGCCGCCTGCCCCTGCCCAGCCCCCCGGGTCCTTACGGGGCAGCATGTGGGGACTGATGAGCAGGTCGGGCAGGAGTTGTTCGCCTGCAAGGGGTAGGCTGGCAGCCAGGGGCCCTGCCTCCAGGTTTGGCAGGACCCCAGAGAGAAGCTCCTGGAAGCCGGCGGCGTTGCCAGGGGGAGGGGCCAGGAGGCTGGGGTCGGGAGCAGGGGGTCCCAGCCCCACGGGCGGCTGCAGGGTGGGTGGCCACTTGACCTCCTCTTTGGGTAGAGAATACGGTGCCATGGGAGGGACGGGCTGCACTGCCTCTACGGGGGGCGGGGGCAGCTGTGAGCGCCACCTCTGAGAACTGCCTCCCAGCCCACCCACTCCCAGCCCAGGCCGCCCCCAGCCTCTCTCCAGCCCCTCCTGGGTACCGAAGGCAACTGCAGCTTCTGCACATACTAGACCCCTAACCCCCACCTCCCGGCCCCACCTGTGATGCTCAGGCTTGGCAGCATCCTCTGGAGCTGGAGGAGGACACGGCAGGGGACGGGGGAGAGATCAGAAAGACAGAGGGAGGACCGGTTATTGACTGGTCTGATGCTGGAGAAATCACACACAAGACCCGCAGTGTGATTCCCCGGCCCCTGGCTCAGCCGAGGCCAGACCCTGCCTCCAGTCCCAGCTTGGCCATCCCAGGCCGATCCTTAAAGTGCTCGGTGCCTCAGTTACCTCCTCTGCAGTTAATACTACCTCACAAGCCCCAAGTGCTGTGAGGGCCAGCCAGACAAGTGTCAGCGTGACAACAAAGCCCCGTGACAACAAAGGGGGTGGGGGTCTTGGTCCCTGTCCTTCAGAGTCCCCAAGACTCAGAAAGGGCTCCGGGGGGGTGGTGCTGGAGCCAAGGGTGGAGCGGGACGGCAGAGGGCCCTTTCTGTCCAGGCCCTGCAGCCAGGCACACACACCTCTTCCTCCTCCTCCTCTTCCTCCTCTCCTGCAGCAAAGGAGTAATCCTCGGGGGGCTGGGACTCTGTGCAGCAGGAGAGAGAAAAGCAGAAGAGGAAAGAGCTGATGGTGGAGGGGAAGCAATCCCACCAGGGCCTCCACTCGGCTGCCCGAGAGACTGGCAAAGCTCCCAAACACAGGGCGAGGGGAAGGGCATGGCTGCCAGTAGGCGGTGGGGACCTCCCTGACTTCCTGAGCGGCCAGATCTCAGTGGAGCCAGAAGCCCAGACCAGGGGGGTGGTGAGGAAGGCAGACGCAGGCCCGATCCCATGCCAAGCCGTTCCTGACCCACCACCATCCTAGCCCCTCCTGGGGTCCCCAGGGTCATGACCTCGCCGGAGCGCGACAGCATGGCCCAGCCCACCACACGCCGGAGGGGGCCTGGGTTCAGGGCTGGGGCCGGGACAGCACACAGCCCTGCCGGTGGCCCACACGGGGCCGGGTCTGATACCTGTGGGAGTGGGGCCATTGGAGCAGACCTCGTAGATCTTGTAGGGCTGGGGCGGCATGTCCCGGGGCCCGTCATAGATGAGGCGGAAGTCGCGGCTCTTGTTGAGGGCGCAGCGCAGGTTGGCCTTCCATTTGGCGGGGTCGGCCTCATCCACCCCTTCAGTGTACTTCCCGGTTTCCTTGGCCCAGGCCTGGGGCAGGAAGAGAGGACAGTCAACCACAGAGAACCCGGCCCCCACTCTCCGAGAGGCCCCATGGTGCATGGAGACCGTCAACCACAGCCTAGCCTCGCTTCATGGAGGCCAGGCCTCATCTGAGGATACGCCCCATTCTTGTCCCAGCTCCCAGGGAACCAGCAAGCTCCATAACGTGTAGGGGCTGAGAGACATGTTCACATCCCTGCTTCTGAGAGGGTATACCCGTGGGATCGCTGAGGAGGGCGGTGGAATGTGGTGGAACGGGTGGGCATATTGCAGCCAGGCTGGGCTTGATCTGAAGTGTGACCCACCAGCTGTGTGCCAGGCCATGTCACCTTGCCTCCCTCTGCCTCAGTCGCCTCCTCACAGTGATCACTTCATAAGGCAGGGTGGCAGTGAAGCCCATAAAACACTCAGAGCTGTGCCTGCACACAGGATGGGCTGCGGGTCCTGGAGCTGTTCATTTCATTATTTTGGATGGCAATGTGGTGAGATCAGGATGACTCATGTTTCTAACCCAGCAATTCGACTTCTAGAAATTTGTTCTACGGATTATAGAAATAGTCACACAACATTTTGCACATACAAGGTTATTCATAGCAGTACTATTTGGTTTTTTGTTTGTTTTTTAGAGACGAAATCTCGCTCTCTCACCCAGGCTAGAGTGCAATGGTGCAATCATAGCTTACTGCAGGCTTGACCTCCTGGGCTCAAGGGATCCTCCCACCTCAGCCTCCCAAGTAGCTGGGACTACAGGTATGCATCACTGTGCCAGGTCATAGAGCAGCACTATTTGTAAAAGCACAAGGACCCAGAATACCCAATTCAACATCCATCAGTGAGGGGCTGGTTAAATTATGGCCCACGCATAGAATGGAATACTAGGCAGCACATACACACACACACACACACACACACAAGGAGGAAGCTTTTTTTTAAATTTTAATGAGTTGGAGTCTCTGTTGCCCAGGCTAGAGTGCAGTGGCACAATCACCGCCACCAGCCTCAAACTGCTGGGTTCAGGCGATCCTTCCACCTCAGCCTTCCAAGTAGCTGGGACTGCAGGGAGCACGCCACCACACCTGGCTCAGTTTTTGATTTGTTAGAGACAAGGTGTTGCCAAGTTGTCCAGACTGGTCTTGAATCCCTGGTTTCAAGTAATCCTCCCACCGTGGCCTCCCAAAGTGCTGGGATTACAGGCATGAGCCATCGGGCCTGGTTAGGTGGAAGCTTTTTATATACTGACATTTAGCAAGCTTCAAGAAAAATTAAGTGCAGAAGAGGGTGTATTCATCTACACACTTTTTGTGAAAAGCAGGGGAAAGAATGGGTGCATATTTGCTTGCATATGCACAGAAATCTCTCAGGAAGGATAAACAAGAAGATGACAACACTATTGCCTTTAAGGGGGAGGGTTAGGTGTCTGGGACCAGAGTGGGAAGGAGACTTTTTACCATAAATCATTTTACACCTTTTAAATTTTGCTTATTTACTTTATTTATTTGTTTGTTTATTTATTTACTTGAGATGAGTTTTTACTCATCGGCCAGGCTGGAGTGCAGTGGCACGATCATGGCTCACTGCAGTCTCGACCTGCTGGGTTCAGGCAATCCTTCCACCTCAGCCTCCTGAGTAGTTGGGACTACTGGCGTGTGCCAACATGCCTAGGTAATTTTTTTTTTAGAGACAGGGGTCTCATTATGTTGCCTAGGCTGGTCTTGAACTCCTGGCCTCAAGCAATTCTCTTGCCTCGGCTTCCTGAGTCACTGGGATTACAGGTATGAGCTGCTGCACCCAGTCATCTTTTCAATTTTGAATCATGTGACTGTATTACCTATCAAAAAAGAACTTTGAAAAGGTAAAAACCACATGCAACGACTAAGAAAATATGTATTTAAATTTTTTTTTCTTTTTTTTTTTTTTTTTTTTTTTTAGTTGGAGTCTCACTCTGTCACCCAAACTGGGGTGCAGTGGCCACTCCCGGCCACCGCAGCCTCGACCTGCTGGGCTCTGGCGATCCTTCCGCCTCAGCCTTCCAAGTAGCCGGAATTACAGGCTGTTTTATATTTATTTATTTGTTTATTTATGTATTTATTTATTTGAGTCAAGAGTCTCACTTTGTCGCCTAGGCTGGAGTGTAGTGGCACACTCATGGCTACCGCAGCCTCAGCATGCTGGGTTCAGGCAATCTTTCTGCCTCGGCATTCCAAATAGCTGGAACTACAGGGGTGTACCACCACTACCCCTGTAGTTTCGTGACAGTGGTATGTTCCACCAAAGGGAAACATTTGATTCTAAGTGTGCATTTCATATATGCACACATTCAGAAAACTGAAAATATAAGCAAAGACAATGATACTAGCTACCTCCTGGCATTAAGATTACAGGTGATCAGGCCATAGTCTGTGGCCTATAATTCCAAGTACTCAGGAGGCTGAGGCAAGAGGATTACTTGAACCCAGGAATTTGAGACTGGCCTGGGCAACATAGCAAGACCCTGCCTCAAAAAAAAAAAATGTATATATACATTATTATACCCTTTTTACATTATTACTTTTTTTTTTTTTTTTTT